AAACTCGGCTCTCCGATTCCTCATTCTGAGCCGCTAGACAGAAAACATCTAAGACTCAAAGGTGTATCCAACATACCAGGGTCAGTGCAAAATCTATGAAATAGCCCCTCCAGAACTATGATAAGCAGCCCTCCTCTCTACTACATCTCAATTTTTGTAAGGTAATATTCATAAAATTTTCAACATCGAGCCAATACGAATGATGCTTTCTTTAGACAGGGCTACATACAATTTTGAATTCAAAGTTACTTTCTCAGAGACCAGTTGCCTCTCAAGGCTATAGAACCCAGTCTGCTCTTCTATTTACCCATAGCTGATGGGGAGAATGGACAGTGGCTCAGATTGAGGAATCAGAGAGTTGAGTTCAAATTCCAGTCCGATCCATTACATTCACTTACATGCTAATACCCTTGGGAAAGGTATGAATCCTCTTCTTCTCCCCCCAGCTATGGGTAAATAGAAGTACAGACCGGGTTCTATAGCCTTGGATAGCAACTGGTCTAGAAGAAGAAAAACTCTGGATGCAAACCTGCCTGGAGAGGGTTGGGCTCTGTAAGGCTGTCTTGCCCAAGAAACATCACTTGTACTGCGAATGGATCTAACCAACACCTTTATCCACTGTGCCAGGTGTCCTTGAGGATATCTGTGTATGAATTTCTGGGTATTATGATGACAGGACCCAAAGAGTGTGAGTTCAATACCCAGTTAAGGCAGTGGAGAACTTGCAGTGGGAAATTAACAGGAGATAACTGATAACTGACATCCATTAGACATGGCATGTGGAACTAGAACAGTCTACCCCAGTGAGCAAAATAAAGGGCCCAGTTTGACATTCCAACCACCTGAAGAAAGCCGGAGATAGTCCGAATAATGTAAATAGTGTACATAATACCTCATCTCAGAAATATAAACAGATACTGAAAAAATAACTAATTATCTCCCTCTCCAAGTGTCATATCCATTCAGAATGAATTTGATCATGACTCTCCACAAGTTTCTTATTTTAAATATCTGTGAATTGCCATGACTATGTCGTGTTTCCCTGTTGCTTTCACCATGTTTTTTAAATGCAGAGATTGTCCTTCTCAGAGACTCACTGCTAACCAAAGCTGAAGAACCCAGTCTAGACTACTATTTAATCCACAGCTGCAGAGAAAAAAAGAGAAATTAAAGTCTTTTCTAAAGGTATTGGTACAAAGTGAACACAAATTGTCTCAGCCGGCTTTTGAACCCTGCTTGCTGATACCGTTTTTGTTTTGGTTAACTTTTACGCCCTCCTCACCTCTTAGTGAAACAAATAATTGGAAACAAGTGCCAGAAATTTGGAAAAATAAATGCAAAAATAAAAGCAATGAAATAAAATGAAGAAAAAAAATGAAAACCCAGTGAATTCAGCAAGATGCAAAAGACTCCCATTTACAGTTTGTGAAAAAGGCTGCTTAAGTATTTTATCTGAAATGGAATCTTCAAGAATGCTGACAAAACTTTTTAAAAAGTGTATATGCAACCTGATCAAAATATTGACACAAACACAAATCCAAAATCTGCATCACTGTCATTTTCAGCTAGGGTGCCACAGCAGAATTCTGTTTTAGAAATGGTTGTTATGGGTGTGGCAAGTTTGTCAAATTTCCAATACCAAAATAGCCAAAAAAAAAAAAAAAAAAAAATGCTAAAAGCAGTAAAACACAAAAACCAAGTAATCTGAATGACTGACAAAATACCATTCCTCATCACAAAACTCAAATATCTCATTAAATTCAATTTAGTGCTAATTTAAAATTGTCATTTATAATCCTCTATACAGAAAAGGAAATTAAATTAAATTTGTAAATGTTTGATATTTTATTACAAGAGCTCATAACTGAATACCTTTTGTCTGACATCCATTCTTTTAATTAGAGTAAAATTTGATCCAAACCATTTATTCACATGCACTTTTTGTTTAATTTGGATAATTTTGAGACGAGTCATTATCATTCCAAGAATTGTTCAGACTACTGATCTAATTCTTTTTGCTTAAGACACATTTTATAATTTTGAGACGAGTCATTATCATTCCAAGAATTGTTCAGACTACTGATCTAATTCTTTTTGCTTAAGACACATTTTATAATTTTGAGACGAGTCATTATCATTCCAAGAATTGTTCAGACTACTGATCTAATTCTTTTTGCTTAAGACACATTTTTATTCATTATCATTTTAATTCTTTTTGCTTTAAGACACATTTTATAATTTTTTTATCATTCCAAGAATTGTTCAGACTTGCTTAAGACACATTTTATAATTTTGAGACGAGTCATTATCATTCCAAGAATTGTTCAGACTACATTGAATCTAATTCTTTTTGCTTAAGACACATTTTATAATTTTTCATTATCATTCCAAGAATTGTTCAGACTACTGATCTAATTCTTTTTGCTTAAGACACTTTTTATAATTTTGAGACATTATCATTCCAAGAATTGTTCAGACTACTGATCTAATTTTTTTGCTT